AATCTGTTCTGCATATAGGTTGAAAAGGTATGGAGATAGGATGCATCCCTGGCGTACGCCCTTCCCAATTTTGAACCATGCAGTGTTCCCTTGCTCTACAGGAGATGCCTTGCAGTTTGCCAGTACCCAAGCAGACACCGAGGCACTGGGCGCAACACGTGCGACGTCAGGGAAGCTGGAGGTCTCAGTCCTCTCATCTATAAAATGCTTTCTACATCATCAGGGTCAGGCCACGTGAGCTGGGCCACCCTGAGACCTGTCCCCCAAGTAGACGATTAGCCCCTCCCCCCAAATCGCCCCTACGGACCTTACCTACCTCGATCAAACTTTTTGCCTTCTGGGTCAATGTCTTTCACATCGAAAATATCCTCAAACAGGATGCCCGCCATCGTGAGGCCACGAAAGTAGAACAGGTGTGCGGAGCTCGCGACCAAGACTAGCGAGGGAACTCGAAGCCACCCGCACAGCTGCGCGGGACAGGACTGCGCGTGCGCTGGGCCGTAGTGTGGGTCCTCAACTTCCGGTCCCGCCCTCTCGGGGTGAATTAACTTCCGCCCCGAGTGACTGCTTCCGCGATCTTTCGGCATTGGAGGCGGGTCTCGAATCCAGCTGACTCCGCCCTGGGGCAGGAACACAATAGATCCCGCCTCCATTCGACATGGCTAGAGTACTCGTGGTCTGTGGGCTCCACTACGCCCTCTTCATCGTACAGTCCTTTAGAGTGTACAGGCCTGTTCGAGGAGAGGACCTTGATCCTTGGTCCAGAGAAGCCCAGCACTAGTCCTACCCAGTCGATTCGAGTGGCCGCCGAGGGCACAGTCCGCGCAGGGGCGGCCGGAGCAGAACCCCGCCCCCAGCATGCTAGCAGCGCAGGGCGTAATGCCCAGCTGCTCCAGCTGGCACTGAGGCCCCCCAAGCCGGCCCGGGCCGGATCGGTCCTGCTGGATGTCACACGAAACGGGTCCGTCAAGTTTGGGAATTTGCCATGATGTCACTATGGGGAAGAGGAAAACCCGCAGTGTCCTCTCCCCTGGCACTGCCACCTCTCCACCACTCCTCACTTTTCCCTACACCGCTCTCCAGCCTGGCACTAACCTCTTCATATACACTCCCCAGAACCTAGCCTGGTACCACCCATTTCTCCTTATGGACACTGATCTATATATGTCCCTTCATCCTGGTACTAGCCATCCCTTCAGCTCTTTCCTCACACTGCCCCTCTTCCTGCGCACTGCACCCTCCGTCTAGGCACTTGTCACATTGACCTCCGCCCTAAGCACAACCACTGTCTCCACGTGACCCTTCGTCTAGATACTGACACATGACCAGTTTCCTAAGCATTGCCTCTCTCCTCTTACTAGCCTACCCCTAACACTGCTCTGCCACCCGGTGCGTTCCTTCTTCCCCATCCTTCCCCAACTCAAGATAGGAAAGCCTTTCCCCCAGGACAAAGAGACGTCAGCAGCTCCTCGGGTTTTTCCTTGGGCCCTGCCAGGGAGAAGCGACCTCTGCCCCTACACGCCCGCCTCCCAGGAGTGGCCTCTCTGGCACCCTGACCTCGCGTCCCTCAAGCCTCACCTCTTCCCGGCCCCTCCTCACCTCCACCCCCAGCACAACCCCGAGCCAGGTTCTCCAAGTGCACCTCCCTGAGAGGAAGCCCGGAGGAAGAGGGGGGAAAATGGGATGAAGGAGACCGAGCGGCTCCGTTTCAAGCACCCACCTGCCTCTACCCGCGCTGAGACCATAATTCCCCTCGAGTTCCCGCAGCTTTGTTTCTCACCCCCGAGGGGACAGAGCGGCCTTTCCAGACTTGCCTCAGCCTCTTGCCCTGCAGCAGAGAGCGCGCCTCTCCAGAAAGAGGGGTTGAACCCGAAGAGTCCGATTTAGACGGCCCCCCAGCCCCAAGACCCCAAACCGCACCGAGCTCCCGCGTCTCTAGACCTTACGGCCGCAGCAGCGGAAGCCGCGGACGCGGCTGGTCCCTCCACGTGCCAGAAGATTCGCCCTCGCCCTGTCCCGCCGCTCCCGGCTCCCGCGGGGAAGGGTCGCGGACCCGCGCGGCCTGTGCGCCCCCTGTCGCCTCTCCCGTGCCTGAGAGGCGGCCCCAAAGCAGACCCCAGCCAGCTTGGGCCAGCCCCTCCGGATGGGCCGGCGGGCGGAGCAGCGCGGAGGACACCGCCCTCGGCCCGCCCGCCGAGCAGAGTACAAGAGCGCGAGGCTGCGCCAGCGGCGCCCGCCCGGGGCCCGCTGCACTCTGCGCTCGGTGTCCCGAGCTGCCGGGACGGGGGCCGGTTCCGAAGAAGCGGGCTGTGCGGACCGGGAGCCAGGTCCCGGGCAGCGCCAGAGCCTCAGCGGGAACCGAGAGGGCAGTGAGCGGAGATGGCGGCCACGGCGACGGCGGCGGCGGAGGAAGGGATGGAGCAGCGGGCGCTGCAGTACGAGCAGACCCTGGTAAGTGAAGCCGAGCGGAGCCGAGCCCGGAGGGGTGCGCTCTAGCACTGCTGCTTCGGGTTACCCTTGGAAGCAAGTGCTAGAAGCGAGGCCTACCTTCACCCTGCCCCAGACTTCTGATCTGGGGAGACTGAAGTTCAGGAGGCTAAGAAGCTGAAGTGCAAAAAGGGTTGAAAGCTGCTTGCAGGTTTCTGGCCAAGACTGGGGCCTGAAGAGGACAATGACACTAGGTACTTGTCTCAGGTGTCCTGCCCTCCGCCACACACTAACACACACATTTCTTTCCTCCTCCCTCTCACCACCTGAGCCCGAGTCCCCACAGCTTCACTCCGCCCCCTCAATCACCACCTCACACCTTGGAACTTTCTCTCCCTATGCTCTCTCTACCTCAGCCATACAAGAAAGTCCCGATGGGGTCCTCACTTTGTACATGGAACAGTGCTAAGCATAGAGACCAGGAGGGGTTGAAAGATGATCAGACCCACACCCAGCCCTGGACCTACCCCTGTCTCTGGGAATTTACAACCCAGCATTATTAGTAGGAGCCCTTTAAACTACGGTTGGGCGTTAAAAAAAGAGGGGTGGCCTGCCCCCTTGGGGGGCAGGATCTTAAGGTGTGAGAATTGGTACCTTGTTCCTACTGACACTGAGTAGCCAGCCACCACCCACCCCATGGGTGTCCCTTGACCTCTTTAGAAGGGGTCCTGGGGCTTTAAGCTGTCCCACTGCCTCCACTGCTGTTTAGTGGTTGAGAAGCCATTTGTCCCCTCTCAATTTGTTGTCACGGGGGTGGGGACTCAAGCTCCAGGGAAGGGAATGGGCCCTTGTGCCTCTTCATCAACTCCAGCTGGAATTTGCCCAGGAAGGAGGCAGGGAAGGAACCTTTAAGGAAGGAGAGGACCTAGACAGTCATTGGGAAGTGCCAGGCTGCAAGAGAGGGTGACTGGATCAAACAGGATGACGGGGAGGGGCAGCAGGAGTGGCACTGGAATGAGGGGAAAGGAGCAGGCAGTGGGGATTGAGTGAGAGGTTGCTGTCTGGCCCTGGTGAGGATCCAGGCATTGGTCAAGGAGGCTGGGCACCTGGCCTCGGAAATGGTGTCTGTCCCTGGTCACATCTCCCATCTCTTTGGGCCCTGTCTTATCTCTGGAATGAGCTCTTGGGGTCAAACACCCCCAGGTATTCATTCTCTGCTCCAGCCTCCCCTCTTCTGCCTCTGATCCCTTTGTCTTTCACTCACTCACCTCCCCTCTTACACCACGTCTGCCTCTTTCTGCTCAACTTTCTCTTCTCCTTTCTCTCCTTCCTCTCCTCTCTGGCCCTTCTTTCTCTTCTCCATCCCTTCTCCTCATTCCCCGTTCCCCTCTAATTGCTTTTCTCTATGCTTGTCTTCCCTCTCCTCAACCTCTATCTCTCACTCTCTCTCTGCCTCTATCTTTCCCTCCCTCTTCCCTCCCCACCCCAGCCCCAACAGGAGCCCATTGTGTCCCGTAGCTCTGCGGGTGGCAGCCGGAATCTACTCCTCCCTACCCCCCAACACACGCCCAGCTTGGCAGGTCTAGCTCTGGCTCAGTGACTTTCCCTCCCTTCACCCCAGCATCCAGTCGCAGACTAGCCATCAGCAGCTCTGGTCCCCGAAACCACCGCTGAGCTCTGGGAAACTCCAGAGTGGAGCTGTGGCCACCAAATACTCCCCACCCATCCCAAGTCCAAGCTCGGCCCTGCAGAGCCCTGCAGACTGCTAGGGGTGGGGGTGGGGAATGGGGACAAGGGGATTAGGGGGGTGGCAGGGTGCAGCAGAGTCGGTCACAGGCCAGAGGCCCAGCAAGAACGTGATAAGGATTGGGGCCCCGCCTGCTTCTGGGCCCTACTCTGAGCAGTGCCCGGCTCTGCAAGGCCCTTGTTATTGTCCATAAGCCCTTGACCATCCCTTATTCTCTGACCTTCTGTCCTCCCACTTTCAGGCTCCGTGGGCTCAGTTTTTCAGTCTTTTTCTCCTTTGGGGCCCTTCCTTCCCCTCCTCCTCAGTGCCCCTCCCCAGGGCCTGTGAGAAGAGGGCTGATTATTCTGCCACCCCCAGAGCTGTGTACCTTGGCTGTCCCCATCACTCCGGGCCAGGACAGCCCCCACAGTCTGCAGTGTGCATTGTTCCCACACCCCAAGCCAGAGAGGAACTGTGGATTCAAGAGGGGTTATACATACAACTTGAGATTGGGAACGGGGCCATGAGGGCTCAGAATCTCTCTCCCCTCAGCCTTGGCTAATGTCCTGTCTTTCCCATCACTCCAGATGTATGGCCGCTATACTCAGGACCTTGGGGCCTTTGCCAAAGAGGAAGCTGCTCGGATCCGCCTAGGGGGCCCTGAGCCCTGGAAGGGCCCCCCATCCCCTCGGACTCCTCCAGAACTTCTGGAATATGGACAGAACCGTTGTGCCCGATGCCGCAGTGAGACCTGTGTCGGGTGGGGTGGGGGACCCTGCTATGCTGGAAGAGATAGATGCCATTAGAGCCACCCATGGGCAGGGTTGAGTAGTAGAAGGGTAAGCCAGCTTTGATGCCAACCTCTTATTCGTCCCTCTCCTGATCCCAGTCTGTTCCGTGCGCTGCCACAAGTTCCTGGTGTCCAGGGTTGGGGAAGACTGGATCTTCCTGGTCCTGCTGGGGCTCCTTATGGCATTGGTCAGCTGGGTCATGGACTATGCCATCGCAGCTTGTCTGCAGGGTGAGGACAAGAACTGGCAGGGGGCTACTGGGGAAAACCACTCTGCTTCCTCCATGCCACACTTGTCCCGTGTCTCAGGCAGCCATTGACCTTCCCTCAGCCTTTCTTTGGGCATACTCACTGCTGGCCCCAGAGAATTTGCCTTTCTTCTTCTCTCACTGGCCCTCCTTCCTTCCTATAGTGGTCTTTGTCCAAAAAGAGGGCATCTGCCGTCTCCCCTCCACCAGCGCAGGCTCTGTGTCATATTTCCCCCCGACGGTTGGACCTATATCCCAGAGGCCTAACGAGCAGAAGGCAGTTGCACAGAGAGTCCTGCAGCATGTTCTCTTCCACAGCTCAGCAGTGGATGTCCAGGGGCTTGAACACCAACATCTTTCTACAGTACCTGGCCTGGGTCACCTACCCTGTGGTCCTCATCACGTTCTCAGCAGGATTTACACAGATCCTGGCTCCTCAGGCTGTCGGTACAATAGTAGGGGAGGGCAGGGATGGGACCTCCTGAAAAGAGCCCCTCACTTGACTCCCCTGACAATGTTCCCCTCCAGGATCTGGCATCCCTGAGATGAAGACCATTTTGCGGGGAGTGGTGCTAAAGGAATACCTCACTCTCAAGACCTTTGTAGCCAAGGTCATTGGGCTGACCTGTGCCCTGGGCAGTGGCATGCCACTTGGCAAAGAGGTGACTACAGGTTGGGAGCTAATGGGTGTCCCTCTCAAGTGGGGGAGACCAGGCCAAAGTCAGGGGGCACCCCTACTCCCCTCACCATCTGCCCCCCCCAGGGCCCCTTTGTGCATATCGCGAGCATGTGTGCTGCCCTGCTCAGCAAGTTCCTCTCCCTCTTTGGGGGGATCTATGAGGTAAGGGGGACTCTGGGGGAGGGTAAGGATATGTTACTGAGTCCATGGTTGACTTCCTCATCCCACCTCTCTCCTCAGAATGAATCTCGGAACACAGAGATGCTGGCTGCTGCCTGTGCTGTGGGAGTGGGCTGTTGCTTTGCGGCCCCTATTGGAGGTAGGCAGGGCCCCCAAGCCTGCCTTTGGCCTCTCACTGAGCCCGAGTCACGAGGCCAGGCTTCAGGTAGCACCTTCCCCTGCCTCCTCACAGGCGTCCTGTTCAGCATCGAGGTCACCTCCACCTTCTTCGCTGTGCGCAACTACTGGCGGGGCTTCTTTGCTGCCACCTTCAGCGCCTTCATCTTCCGGGTCTTGGCTGTCTGGAACCGTGATGAAGGCATGGAGGGGGTGCTTCAGGGATTCCCTGCGATGGCTAAGGTGAAGGACCCTTGAGGTAGACCTACCTCCCTCTGCTACTCTCACCTTCCCTTCAGAGACCATCACTGCTCTCTTCAAAACCCGATTCCGGCTCGACTTCCCCTTTGACCTGCAGGAGCTGCCAGCCTTTGCTGTTATTGGGTAAGGAGCTAAAGGGGTGACAGCTGTCAGAAAGGAGAGCGGTCTCCATAAGAAGACTCCTTTACTCTGGTGTTTCTTCCTCCTCCCCACTCTAGTATTGCTAGTGGCTTCGGAGGAGCCCTCTTTGTCTACCTGAACCGGAAGATTGTCCAGGTGATACGGAAACAGAAAACCATCAACCGCTTCCTCATGAAGAAGTGAGTTGGCTTGAGGCTCCTCTTGGATTGGGCGAGGGTCATCGTAGGGTGGGGGACACTCACAGGCAGGTGGCAAACAGTGGCCCAGAGAAAATCAGCCCACAGTTTTTACCAGGTTGACTGAAAATTTTAATTTTACATGTTGTTGTTGTTGTTGTTGTGTACCATAGAGTCGGAACTGACACATAGCTGACCCTCCAGCAGGTTTTCAGAGGCAGTTAGGGAGGAGATTGCCCATCACCTCCCGCGGAGCAGTTGGCGGATTTGAACCCCGTGCCTTCAGGATTGCAGTGCAGTTTCTTACCACTAGGCCACCTGAAAACTGCAACTTGTTAATTTCCAGTCAATGGTAGAGGGTGTTTGGACCAAGCCTTCCACAAGCTCTTTAGCCTGCCCCAGGCAGCAATGTTTTCTACAGTGTCTGAGACTTGATGTCCCTCCATTGACCAAAAGGTGGATGGATTTTCTTCTCCAGAGCGCCTTTTTAACAACGTCTGTTGTACAACACTCTCAGTTGTCACCCTGAGGATTGAGAGAAGGGAGGAGTCACTTGGGACTGATGTCCTGCAGGGAGAAGGAAGCCAGCTGACCCTGTCCCTTACTATACCTTTGGTCAACTGCCACCAGTGGCCCCAGCTTCACCCAGCACTGACCTTCCCTCTCAGCCACCACAGAGAAACAGATGGAAGCAGGAACTTCTCCACACCCTCACATAATTTTTCCTTTGGTTGAAGATTCTGTGTTGGGAGGTCACAGCTCAGAGGTGTCCATGACAAAGTCAGCAGGGGAACTCTCCACTGCTCCCCACTTAGGAAATCGAGTGCTAAGCAAAGGCCTTTGGGTCATTACACCCTAGGCTCCTGGTCCACTCAGTTATCATATCATAAACAGAACTATGCTTTTATGTAAGATCCAAGGCTGTGCTCATCCTCAACTCTGAGAGCACCCAGCCTGTCATCAGTCCACAGTAAACGTACTGCGTTTGATGCTGTGAACCCTCTATGTCTAGACGCCTGCTCTTCCCAGCTCTAGTGACCTTCCTTATCTCCACGATGACCTTCCCTCCTGGCTTTGGGCAGTTCATGGCTGGACAGGTAACTCCAAGCTAAACAAGAACGTGAGCTGCCCCTTGAGATGCATCCTTTCTAACCCCTGCCCCACAGGATTGTGGGATTCCCCTGACCTCCCGCAGGGCCTTCCCTTCATCTCATCCATTCCACAGCCTGAGGAGCCCTGTTCTCCTATAGCTCTCACAGAAAGAGACACTGGTCACCCTGTTTGACAACCGGACGTGGGTCCGCCAGGGCCTAGTGGAAGAGCTAGAGCCACCGGGCACCTCACAGGCCTGGAACCCGCCTCGTGCCAATGTCTTCCTTACCCTGGTCATCTTCATTCTCATGAAGGTGGGTCTCCTTACCCATATAACTGAACATCTGCATAGGTTTATTAGCTGGGTCGGAATCAGCTGGTCAGTAGTGGGTGTGGTTGCTGGCTTCTTGGGTACTCAGCACTACCCCAGGCACTTTCCATACGTTAACTCTTCCCAGCCTCACAACAGTGCTGACAAAGGTACTGTCCCCACTTAAGAGTGGATGAAATTGAGGTACGAATTGGGTCAAAGTTGTACAGGTGACACAGAGTTAAGATTTGAATCTTCACCTTCTCCTTCCCTTTGCCATCCCTGGGGGTGAGGGATGCGGAAAATGAATAGCTGGGTGGTTTGTGTCCAGCTGATAAGTCAAGCAAAATTATTACCTCCCGGGCATGGGCCTGGGGCCTGGGAGGCCAGCACGCATATCAGAACTGCCTCCTCCTTGCAGTTCTGGATGTCGGCTCTGGCCACCACCATCCCAGTGCCGTGCGGGGCCTTCATGCCTGTCTTTGTCATTGGTGAGTGTAGCTGTTGTTCTCCCAGCCTGCAGCCTTCTCACCTGGCTGCCCTCTGGCCATCCCCTGGCTTCTTCCTCTCTGCTTGGGATTGGGATTGGGTTGTGGTCTAGCCCAGCCCCCACCCCACCCTGCAGGACTGTCCCCCTGCACTCAGTGACCCACTGGCCCCTCCCCCACCCTCTCCCCCTCTCTCTTCCTAGTGTCCCTGCCCTCCCCCTCCACTGCCTGTTTCTCTTCCCACCCCCCTCCTTGAAGGAGCAGCATTTGGGCGTCTAGTGGGCGAAAGCATGGCTGCCTGGTTCCCAGACGGGATCCACACTGACAGCAGCACCTACCGTATTGTGCCTGGTGGCTATGCAGTAGTAGGTAAGTGCCCAGGTCCACATCTTGCTGTGAGGACCACTGCCCATTTCCCTGGCCCTGCCACAGGGTCTGAGGCTCTGGTGCCCCCTGGTGGCCAACATTGGCCTGCCTTCTGCTGCAGAGGCCCCATCCCTGGACTGGGCAGCCCAGAGGGGCCTCCTACACGATGCACCCCTAGGCGGAGAGGGTTATCTGGGGTCTGGACTCCCTGAGGATACTGATGGGAGCTGTTCCCAGGGGCAGCTGCGCTGGCGGGAGCAGTGACACATACAGTGTCCACGGCTGTGATTGTCTTCGAGCTCACTGGCCAGATTGCCCATATCCTGCCCGTCATGATTGCCGTCATCCTGGCCAATGCTGTTGCCCAGAGCCTGCAGCCCTCGCTCTATGACAGTATCATCCGCATCAAGAAGCTGCCCTATCTTCCAGAACTGGGCTGGGGCCGACACCAGTATGGAGGGCTGGGTGGTGGGAGAGGGACAGGAAAAGGCTTCTCGAGTGTTCACCCCCTCAAACCCACTGTCACCAACACCCTGAGCCGGTGAAGGCTGGAAACTGGCCACCTGGCTCCTTCCTTGTCCACATCCTGAGGAGCTCTGGCCAGTTCTCCTGATCAGAAAGAAGGGTGGGAGGCAGACCTGGGCCCCTGGCATCCAGCCCCATCAATTCTGGGACTTTCCTTGCCCCGGGAGAGTGGTACCCTCGCTGTGCCAGCCATGAACCAAATGCCCCTCTCTGCCTCCAGGCAGTACCGGGTACGCGTAGAAGACATCATGATACGGGATGTTCCCCACGTGGCTCTCAACTGCACCTTCCGCGACCTACAGCTGGCTCTTCACCAGACCAAGGGCCGTATGTTGGCCCTCGTGGAGTCCACCGGTGAGGCCAGCAGCCAACCCAGGGCTCCTTGCTCAGGGAAAGGGAAGGGACAAGACCCGAGGACCAGTCTTCCTGGTTCCAAAGGGAAAGAGCCCCATTGCTATAAGTCAAGGCCCCATTCTGGGTTTTAAAAAAGAAAGCTAAGGAGCGATCTGGTGGCCTAGTGGTAAGAAGCTGCACTACAATCCCAGAGGCGCACGGTTCGAATCCACCAGATGCTCTGCCGGAGAAGGGGGGACAGTCTCCTCCTGTACCAGTCAGATCTGATTTGACGGTACACACAAATAATAAAAATTTAAAAAAAAAGAAAGCTAAGAGAGGTCCTCCCCCAGAATCTTAGTCTTGTCACCTGCTCTGTCTAGAGTCCATGATATTGCTGGGCTCCATCGAGCGCTCACAAGTGGTGGCATTGCTGGGAGCCCAGCTGAGTCCAGTCCGCCGCCGGCAATACATGCAGGACATGCAGGAGCAGCGGGCTCGTGCGGCCCAGGCCTCTCCACCAGCAGACCCCGAGCGTCCTCCCAGCCCCGAGACTGCCTTCCAGGTATGGGACATGCGCCCAGACACAATCCCAGATCATCACTGCATGAACCCATCAGGAGGGCGTGTGTGACTTTAGTGTGGCCAGCCCCTTCGTGCCCATGCAGGTGAACACGGAGGATCCAGGCTTCCCTGCTCCCCGCGTGGAGAGTCATAAGCCCCTGAAACCTGCTCTCAAGAGGGCGTCCAGCAACACTATGAACCATAGGGAGAGCTCAACAGGTGAGCCCATCACCTCATCCTCCAGTGGATCCTGAGCGAGGCCGCTGAGCTCTACTAAAGTCCCTCCCTGGTCCTTTTGCCCAGGACACCCAGCCCAAGAGGCTGCCCAGATGAGCAAGTAGAGCTGGGACGCCCTTTTCCCTACCTCCTTCACCTCTCCTAGCCCATTCCTTAAAAGAATACACTGGGGAGCTCTGGTGGCCTAGTGGCAAGGAGCTGCAACTACAATCCCAGAGGCTCACGGTTCGAATCCACCAGATGCTCTGCCGGGGAAGGAGGGGCAGTCTCCTCCTGTACCAGTCAGATCTGATTTGACGGTACACTCACACAAAAATAATAAAAATTTAAAAAAAAAAAGAAAAGAATATACTGTATCCCCACTGAGAGCTTTGTGTTTGGTCCGCAGGGAGTGGGGAGTCATCAGGGATTGCCCTCAGGAGCCTCTTCTGTGGGAGTCCACCTCCTGAGGCCAGTTCAGAAGTGAGTGGTTGATCCTGTCCTGGTGGTCTTGCTCCCCGGCTCCTCGTCTGCCCCGTCCCCTTGTTAACTAGTGCCTGCCCCTTCTCCCTGCCCTTCTGCACCCCCAGCTGTCAGCTCTGGCCCTTCAGTATGCCTTCCTCCTGGTTGCCACCATTTCCCTCCTTCCTCCCTGTAATATCAACTCTTCTCTCTGGTTTGACTCTTTACAAAGTCAGAGAAGTCAGAATCATATGAGAAGCGCAAGCTGAAGCGAGTTCGAATCTCCCTGGCGGTAAGCATTCCCATTCTCCCTACAGCCCAGGAGCACTATCATTGTCGTCTAGGCTGGGCAGAACCCACCCTCCAAGAAGGGGAGACACCTACAGCTCCCCTCTTCCCGACCTCTAACCACCAACCTTCCTCCTTCTTAGAGTGACTCGGGCCTGGAAATCGAGATGACCCCTCAGGAGGTAAGGTGTAACTGGACTCTGGACCCTGTTTCCTTTTGGGTGTGTGTAGCCATCATCTTGGCTGCTGTCCCCATGGGAGGAACTATCGGGTAGGAAGTGGACAGACCAGCTTTCAGGGAGGTGAGAGCAGTTATTGGCCCCACCTCGCTCACCTTCCTGGTCTCTATCTCCCAGATTCTAGAATGGGAGGAACAGCAACTGGATGAGCTGGTCAACTTCAATGACTGCAAAATTGACCCTGCCCCCTTCCAACTGGTGGAGCGGACCTCCCTACACAAGGTAGAGGCGGTAGCCTGAGCCCAGCCTGTTCTGTTCTATCAAGAGGACAGGCTGGGCATTTGGATGTCTCTAAATAAATTTGGCCCGTGGTCAGCAGGGATGGGAAGAGGTGCAGAGAGTGGGCTCAGTACTGGGACATTTTTTAGCCAAACTGCTTCAAGAAAAGCTGTGACATGAGAGACTGGGAGCTAGGGCCCTTTTGCCTCTTCCTGCAATCCAGCGGAGCCAGGCATTTTTCCTGTGCTCAGCCCTGCCCCCAGGGAGCTCTGGACCAAAGCAGCAACAAAGACAGGGCTTGAACTGGGCAGAAGCCAGAAGGCCAGGCCAGGGTCAGAGTTAGGCAGGAGGCTGCCAGAGCTCAACAAGGCAGATACACCCACGTTAGGGGTGGGGGGAAAGGGTGAGAAACAGGCAGGATAAGAAAAATCCAATAAACAAGCTCACCAACTCCCAAGTAGGGGGGAGGACACTGCTAAGAAGAGATAAACAAAGATGAGAAACGCCCAGTGGGGGCTCGGAATGTCAGACCCCAGAACTTCTGACAGTGTGAGCCAAAGGAAAACCAGTAGGGACTAGGAACCTAGGAGAAGGGCAAAACAGCCTCTCAAGAAAAGGCTGAAGAAATGAGAGAAATGGAGTCGAGGCAGGCTGGTGTGAGCCTTTTCAGGTTTACAAACGAGAAGGGAGTGCAGACTTAGCTAGCAGGCTGGGAAGAGAGCTCCTGGAGTCAGCAAAAGCCAAGAGAGGTTTCGGGTACAAGAGCTTACCTAAACGTGTAATTGGGCATGGGAGCCTCCGAGGCACAGGGGACAGGACGACAGTGGATGAACCTGCTCAAGGCCTGCAGCCTGGGCTTCCAGCCTCTGTCATGTCTGACACCTAAAAGTGAGCATGGCACGGCCAAGCAGGGGCTGAGGACACAAGAGAAACAGGGAGACCAAAACACATAAGCCTTTGAGTAGAAGACCTCAGACCAAAGGGAATGTGTGAACCATAGTGATGTTGAAAAAAGGGAGATAGGCCTGCAAATAACACATGGGCTTCTAGGTAAAGCCGTTCTTCCTAAGATCTCAAAAGCTTTTCCATGATGATCCTACTCCTCAAACACCGGGTGCTGATAATTAGGAATATGACAAGCTGTTGCAGCAGCTGCTGCTGACTCTTTTCGAATGTTTGCTGTGTGCCAGGCATTATGCTAAGCTCTTCACATGTTTGCTTTAAATCCTCACAACCACACTGTCAGATGCTATCATTTTTAGATGACAAGATTGAGATTCAGAGAGACTACGCAAGTTGCCCAAGGCCACACAGCTAGTAATGGGCAAAATCAGGCCCCAAATTCAAAGTAGTCTAACTCTAGAGCCACACCATAGGGAAACCGAGGCATGCAGTGAGGTCACTTGTCCAAATCATGGCATTTAGGCCCAGAGTCTGGACAGTCTGGCCCTATTCCCAGCCTTCTTTCAGAAGGCTACTTTGTCCCTCTCCCTGTCAATTCACTGTTCCCAAGCCCAGCAAGTACAAGCTCACCCATGGGCTCCTGGGTGTCTAATTAAATTAAAATAAGAACAAAGTAGGTGTTTGTTACAAGCTTAAAAATAAGGGAAGAGAAGAAGCCTTTGAGGAACCGACTAACAAAAGCACAAAGAACTCAAAGTGATAAGAACATAAAAGATGAGAATTCAAAATGTCCTTGCAGGCCTGAGGAATCAATAAGTAGTAGCCCAGTTAAATTCAGGATGGAAACACTCAGAAAGGAGAGAGGCTAGACTGGACACTGCCAGACCTCCAGCCATACCTGCTAAGTACCTCACTTATTCAGAGGTCACCTATGGAGAAGGGATGGGGGAGGCTAGCAATAAGGCCAGATCCTAGCTTTGCCACCGTAGCTAGCTGTGTGGCCCTTTCTTATTCATGTTTCACTTTCCTTATCTGTAAAATAGGGATCATAATATTTTTGGATCTTAGCTTAAGTGCTGGACTGCTATCTCAAAGGTCCATGACACAAACCCACCAGCCACTCTGCAAAAAAAGATAAGGTAATCTGCCTTATTAAAATTTATAGCCTCAGAAACCCAATGGGACCATTCTGCTCTGTCCTACAGAGTCATTCTGAGTTGGAATCTATGGCAGTTAAAGACCCCATAGGTCATTCGGAGGATTAAAGGAGTTCATTCATGGGAAGCACTGCCTGCCTGGTATTATATTCAATGGGAGATATTACTACTTCTTCTTATATGAAGATGAGCAAAGGAGGATATAAGTAAGAAACTACCCCTGCCCTCAAGGAATTTGTTTCCTTAAGGAAAACATCCAAGTCAGCCAGTAATTATACTCCCTGTGATACAAGCTTCTAATAGAGACAAACACACAATTCCAAGGTGATACAAAGGAAAGGATGACTGTCTTCTTGGAGGACTGGGTAAAGCTCAGAGAGGACGGATGGTGGTAGTGTGTTTTGGAGAAGAGGCTAGAGGATTATTAGTAGGACTGTAAAAGATGATATAATAGAAGGTGAAGAGATTGAGGTTGTTAACAACTTCAGCTTGCTTGGCTCCCCAGTCAACATTCTTGGCATCAGCATTCAGGAAAGAGGAATTGCACTGGAAAAATCTGCTGTCAGGGACTTTCCAAAGGACTGAGAAGCAACAATTTCAGTCTAGAGACTCATGTGCACCTGATTCAGCCTATGTTCTTTGCAATTACTTGCTATGCATCAGAAAGCTAGATAATGACTAAGGATGTGAGAAGAATCGACGCTTTTGAGTTGTGGTGCTGGAGAAGTCTTGAACATACCCTGGACCACCAAGAAAACAAACAGGTCTATCTTAGAGAGGGTGAAACCAAGTGTCTCCTTGAAGGCTAGGATTTTGACACTCCATCTCACATATTTTGGGCATGTGGCCAGGAGGAAACAATCCTTGGAGAAGGACATCATGCTCGGAAGGGTGGCGGAACAGCACAGGAGAGGAAGACCCTGGATGAGATGGCTTGATACAGTAACTGGGGCAGTGGGGGTAGGTGTGTCGGAGTCAGTGAGACTGGCTCAGGGCAGGGCAGAGTTCAGAGCAGTTGTACATAGGGTTGCTATGAGTCACAGGCTACTCAATAGCACGTAACGACAACAATGGGGAAAGGCCAAAGATGCATCCAGCAATAGATGACTGATTATGTGTAGCTGGAAGCCAGGACACATGGCAGAATCTGAAGCTGGGAAATCAGGCTGGGGTCACTGAAGGAGGGCCTCATGAGCTATTATAGGGTCACTGAGCTCCACCTCATGTTTGACAAAGAGCACTAGGGTAGCAGAGAGAAGTTGGAGAGAAAAAAGGTGGAAAGAACTTTTAGGATGTGTGTAAATTAGATTGCTTAACATTAAGTTAACACTTAATCTGTGGATAAATAGGTTGCAAACTTAAAAGGCATAAAGCAAACCCATGCCATTGATTCTAACTCACAGGACGGAGTGGATCTGCCACTTAGGGTTTCCAGAGTTGGAATCTTTCAGGAGCAGGTTGCCAGAGCTTTCTCCATTGAGTGGCTGGTGTGTTCAAACTGGACCTTAAAATTAGCAGGCAACCACTAACCCTGCACCACCAGAGACATCTCATTCTAATTAGGATTGGAGCCTGGGTGAGGGGGAAGAGTGGAATCCAGAGAAACTACTTAATAGGATCTTTCAAAGAAGATAAGAGGGATTATGTGAGCCAAGGACAAGGCTGTGGGATTACTGAAAGAGGAAATCTTATAATAAAGATGTTTCCCTCTGATGCCAGTAGACTTAAAGCTAACTTACAGCACATAGGTTTCAAGTTAGCAGCTAGTTGCTAGCCACATGTAACTAGAAGTTAATGAAGAAATGCAGAATAGCTTATTTGAAAACAGAACTTCTAGCCCCTTTTAAGTACCGTCATGTTCTGGGATGGGAAATGTTGGAAAATTTTGGAAGTCCTTTCCTAAAGCTAACATTTAGCAGTTATACTAAGAAAACATTTTTAAAGTGTTGAAGAATTTAAATGAGGTCTGAGTAACTGATACTCGAGAGGCTTAGTTATCAATGCCCATTTTGATTCAGACATTAAAGCCAAAAAGCTTACAACTAAACTTGGGAACAGTGAGATAAATGATAGGTCAAAAATTCTAAGAACTGCTGAGTCAGGAGAGTGTTTCAAGACATCTGGTTCAAGAAAATCCATCAGCACCAGGGGAACTGGCGGATAACTTCTGAACACTTGGTGATTATATTTGCAAGCTTGAGGGGAATACCCAAACAAGAAAAATATGGGGGTGCAGGTAACTGTTGGCCTCTTAAACAACACACTGAGTCTCACCAGGACCTGAGGTTTGTAAACAGCAAGAACCATAGAATGCATCAGCCAAGAAAAGATCGGTGTTAGAGCAGGAGTCCAGAGAGATTCCAAGTGGCCAGCCAGCCACTGGAAGGTCAGGAGGCACAGGATTCCGAACCAGGAACCCCTAAAGGTGTGTGCATATCCTCGCCGACTGGTCATCTGTGCAGGACAGGATGAAAAGCATGCAGCTTGGGGGTGAATTGGTCTGAGTGGTGACATGGAGCAGGTCAGGCATTACACCTGGGAAGTGCTGCTTCTGTAAAGTGGGTGTAATACCCACTTCTCAGGACAATCTTGAGATTAGAGATAAGAACTATTGGGCATGTGCTGGCTATTCAGTCAACATCCTATGCGAACAGTTGTTCTCGCCTGCCTTCTCCTTCCTATCACACGACCAAGAGCCCTCCTCCTCTATCAACACATGCAGCAGCATACAGACTCCATCACATTTCCGGGGCTTGCTCACAGTAACAGCCTCATTTATACTTTCCCTCCAGTGGCCTTGTCTCCTCCCCCACCACGTGGCACCCCTTCTGCTCCCCTGTGCCCCTTTAGCAATGTCCCCTCATACACTAAACCCAGTGTGTTTTCTTCCACCCTGCAGACTCATACCATCTTCTCACTGCTGGGAGTGGACCACGCATATGTCACCAGTATTGGCCGACTCATTGGAATTGTCACCTTAAAGGAGGTAACGGTGGCCACCAAAACCAAAAAGGCACAAATGACTCTGTCCTGTCACCCAGGGAAAGTGCCAGGGAAGTATCTGTGTAGGCGGCTCCATGTGCAGTCATCTGACCCTCTTACCTTTCCAGCTCCGGAAGGCCATCGAGGGCTCTGTCACAGCACAGGGTGTCAAAGTCCGCCCCCCCCTCGCCAGCTTCCGAGACAGCGCCACCAGCAGCAGCGACACAGAAACCACTGAAGTGCATGCACTCTGGGGGCCCCGCTCCCGCCATGGCCTCCCCCGGGAGGGCAGCCCTTCTGATAGTGATGACAAGTGCCAGTGAAGCCCTGATAAGCAGACAGGAACACTGAGGCCATGGCTGTCCGCCCGGATCCCACTCAGCTCACAGGCATGCCTTTGGAAAGCAGGCAGCAGGTGCAGGCGGAGACTGGACCCCCAGCTCCTGCCAGACCTGGAGTGTCAGCCTCGTTTAATTCACCCTACCTGGAACCTGAACCAGCGCCCACTCACACGTTTCCCAGGGAGCCACGTGGGGGCGTGGCCACTTAGCCCTGCTTCCCTTTGAGGGGAAAAAGGGTAGAACTAAGGTGGGTTTATAACTGGAACCTCCAATGACCAGATGTATATAGTGATTTATAAAGATTTTTATATTAATTTAATAAAACAAATTCTTAAATAGAACAAAATAAACACCTAATGAGCCACTTCTCCAATGCCTGTGCCCACTGGCTCTTGTTCTTATCCTGGCCCTCCTTACGTGCTGAAGCCTACAAGGTTTCTAATATTGCCACCACCCACACCCTTAAAAATCCAGAGCCTGGTGTCCTTGGAACACAGGCTCCATCACAGGCTTGCTCATGAACAACCTTCAGGGGCGGGGGTCCCAACACTAGCTCTGGCTTTCCTAACAGTCCAGACAGACACTACCCACTTCCTTCCTCAAGGAGGGCCACTCCCACAAGGCCTTCATTCATTGGCACATTCCTGCCCACAGCAGGCATCCTGGGAACTTCCCCGGCCCCCTGGTGGCATTCTCTGGAAGAGCAGGACATTCACAGCTCCTTAGCAGCCTGGGTGCTCCCTTCTTCCCATTCCACCCTAAAGGGCACCCTGGGTGAACGGGCAGAGCAGCTGGCTGGGAGCTGCCCAGACCCTGCCCACACATTCCTGCTCCCTGCCACAGCTGAAGGAAGGCTGGACAAGGTCCAAGCCCCACTGGGGAGCCAGGAAGCAGTGGGGAGACTGGCTTTAACCATTCCAAACACCTCCCAGAGGAAACTCCACTGAAAGAACAGACCAAAACCCCTCTTTCTTTAGGAAAAAAGAAGAAGATTTAGAGACGATGGAGAGGTAAAGTACAGCACAAGCCCAGCTGAGCGAGGGGCCCTTGGGGAGAGGGCTCAATCGGAGGGCCCCAGGGATGGGGGGAGGTGGGGGAACAGGAGCCAGCCCCCCAGGGTGGGGGTGATTTTATCAAGCACTGCACGTGGACTCAGAGGTGAGGAGAGAAGCAGAGAAGAGAGGCATGGGGAGGGGAGACAGGGAGGCCAGGCTCCCTCCCACTTGAGTCAGCCACACAGCCCAGTCACAACAATCCCCTTAGGGGTGTCACATCATCCAGGAGGAAATGTGCATGTGTGGCCTTTTTTTGATTGAAGAACATGAATATCACTGTCTGCCACAGCTGTAGCCATGCTCCAGGGGCCCCGGGCAATCCCCGGCAAGCCCCCAGAGTGGGGGCAGGACATGCGCCCCCAGCCCGGGCCCTGTCTCCTCTCCAAACACTTTCATGCAAAACACACAACGGAGGAGTGGGTGCTCCCAGGAGCCCTCCAGGCTGTGGAGCTCTGCTGGAAGCCTCGTGCCCGCACTTGGACATGGGGGCTCTGCCCCCAGCAGCAGCCAGGGGACACATGCCACCACCGGTCAGGATTTAGGTCACTGTTCCTCCGGCTCTGCCTCCTCTTCTTCTAAGGACACCACCCCAGAAGAGGCCACGTCAGAGGCTTGCCGCTGCCGTTCCCAGCTGCCCCCTGGCAGTGGGCAGAGTGGCTGGCAGTCCTTGCACGGAGCTGGCTCCTCCTCAGCAGGGGAAAGGCAGGACTCTGTGAGGGGTGAGTTGTAGAGCGAGTCCTGGGTCTCCAATGGGCCCAGGCTGCGGAAGGCACTTTCCCGGCTCGGGGGCAGTTTGGCAAAGAGCAGCTCATCGCCCAGCAGCTGGGAGGCCAGCCGGGCTGGGGAGCCCAGCAACCCATCCTCCAGGCTGCACAGACTAGAGCACAGGGTGTCTGGGGATACGGTCTGCGAGCAGTCGCTCTCTGGCTCCACAGAGCCCTGGCGAACAGGCCGGGAGAAGCGCCGGCCACTGAAGAGGTCCTGGAGGTGTGGCCCCAGGGGCAGCTGTCCAGAGATGTCTGGTGGGAGCAGAAAAAAAGACAGCTCTACTGGTCCCATATCAATTAGCTATAACATCCAATCCCCCTTCCCTCCCCTCAACCCCACCCTGCCCTCCCTCACAGCACTTGGGTAATGGATAGGCCTAAACAGGGTAACCCTGGGCAAGTTGTTTAACCTCTCAGCGCCTTAGCTGTCAGGGATTCAAATAGCTACCTTATGGGATTGTTGAAAGAACAGAAACTAACACAGTAAGCAAACAATAAATGCCCCCACACAGAGTTGTATAGGTTGTTCACTGCACAACAGGAGCGTGTGTCCAAGGCAGGGTATGTTCACCAAGCAGCATGCCCTGGCATAGGGCTTTACAACCCAGAGAAAGGGGTGCCCTTTTCTAATATTCACAAAGATTCCACATAGGCTACTAGCAGCCCTAGATAAATGTTAGTTATTATTATCCCAGGGGTCAAAGAAGGTTTAGAATTCAATCAGACAAAGATGTTTGTGGCTTATGGCTCTGTTTTATTCTTGGGCATCCGAGTCCATTCCCCCTGGACCACAGCAGCAGTCTGATTTGCTCTAATGGAGGCCCACCTAGGAAAGTTTGTTAATTAGCTGGAGGGCCAGGGGTAAAGGCAATCTTCAAAGGCATGGAGACCACTAAAGTTTTAGCCTAGAAGATGCACAAACTCAGCCATGTGGTCTGGGGAATGGATGATGAAAGGAGGGTTGTACAGCTGTGCACAGCCCCACAGGGTTCCCTCTGTATACACTGGCCCAGAGAAGGGCCCCCAGGCAGGTCTCCAGGTCTCAGCTGGAGCACAAGGATGCTGAGCTAGAGCGAGGGCCATTCCAGGCCCAGCACGCTTTCCTGTTTGCCTGGGGTCACAGCCCTGGGAGGTGCTGTGCTGCTGGCACTGCAGCCCCTCTGTCCTGCACAGCCAGCCAGCAGGCTAGGGGAGGCAAAAGTACAAGCAGACCCTCAGAGACACAGCTGCAGAGAACGTGTCAGAAGGTTCAACACCTGGAGGAAAGGAGCTGTTCCATTTCCAACTGCTAAGAGTGCCCTTGAGGGTGGGACACCCCTCCTCCTGGCCTTGGAATGTCAAGGACTCACTGCCTGCCTGCCTGCCTGCCTGGTCAGTCTGCCCCTCTCCTTAACCCCTTCCAAAGCCTTGGAGGATTCTGGGTGCAGCTCTGAAACCCAGGGCCTGTGAGCTGGGATAATTAGCCTGGGATGTCTGCTTACCTGTATCAGTTCCTCCAACAAAGTCTTCATCATATGATTCATCTGTGGAGTCCTCGCCATCCACTGAAGACCAGGCCCTGAGCTTGGCTTCGGCAATGGCAAACTGCTCCGCCACTCCTGCAGAGGAATGCAGAAAATTCACTCGTAGAGGGGAGCTAAGATTAGGTCTCAGCTTGAAAATGGGACAGGGACGAGGTGGGGTTGTATATAAAGGCCCCAGGGGGTAAGGCAGCATCCTGAGGAAAACTGCGTGGCTGATCCCCCTTTTCATCACCCACCTGCTGCAAAGCGAGCCTCTTGTTCGCCCTCGCTGAGGTCTGAATAAGAGGAAAAGGCTGATTCCAAGGCAGCAGGCGAGTCACTTGGCTTGCTCCAGCCCTTCCACTCGATGAGGTGAGCTACTCGGCCCTGGGCCATGGCGGTGGGCTTGGTCACGTGGTCCTTCACCACCTGAGAAATACCTGGAGGTGGGGGTAGAGTGGAGAAGGCTAGTTAGGGCATAGCTCAGGGAGCACTGGGCAAGGCAATGCCAGGGTGACAGCAGTTAGGGTCCGCATGGACTTTTGAATAGGCTTCTCCTCATCTGGCAAAGGGAGAAAATGAGAGATACCAGCAAGGGGTCATAGGGTCAAGTCCCAAAGGGTATGTGCAAAAGGGAGGAGAAAAGATAGAGTGGCCAGAGGGGTAGGAAGGGTAGCATACCATGCAGGGAGGATCTGGCCAGCGCAGCAATCTCCTGGATAGTTAGGGCTCTCCGGGACTTGGGCAGCATTGCGACTGTGTCTCCAACATTCACCTTGGAGGACAATCATCAGTGGCTTAGTGCCCCTCTGACAGCATGATTTCCCCCCACGTAGTCATACTCCAACCACTGTGTCAGAAGCTGGGAAATGGAAGGGACAGGGCAGCATGTTCCACAGTGGCTGCCAGAAAAACCTAAGAGTGATAAAAAAACTAGGCCTCGCAAAATACATCTTTCCAGGGAGCAATGGAGACTTTAGATGGCCCAAAGGAGCAGGACTGCCACAAGCCCTCTCTATCTTCCTAGGTGAGGGGGTTTGCAGGCAAGCTACAGAGTCACGGAATAAGGCCTTTGAGAAGAGAACAAGAGTGGAAAGCAGAGCACGGTATCAAGGACTTCCTCAATTTCCTCTCCTCTTTACCTCCTTCCTCTCAGTCTTCAAATTCATGCTTTAGCTGTGACTCCCAACCAGAACCTCAAATTCAAACTCAACATGACCAAAATCAAACCCAACGCCTTCTCCCTGATTCCCTTACTGAATATCACCCACCATTCTGCCATTCACCCAGGCTCCAAACCTCAGATTATCAGCTCTCCCCTAAGTTTTGCTTGCCTATAACAGTTGTTAAGGTCTAAGATTCTACCTCCAGACTGCCTCTGATGCTCTTCCTACTCACTTCCACTGCCCTTCCTCAATGCCGTCTGCTCAGATTAGCACAAAGCGTCCTCCAATCTCATGGTATTTTATCAATCTAGAATGTTGTGTGGATAACCAAACACGCACACAGTATCTTTCTCTATGGCTGGCTGGTGGGTTCTTCTCCTTTAAATATTGGCTGAATTATCACTCCAAGGAGGCTTCTGAACCACCTTCTTCAGTGGTTCAACCTCCCTGTCATCCCTAACATATCACTGTCTTCACTCAGGGTACCCTATTCCTGACCCTCAATCACAGAACCTCTTTATAGGCTTATGTTGTCACTGTTCTTACTTCTCGTTGGTCTCGAGCCCAGGCTGCTTGGGCCACCGCTGTCCCCTAGTGTTTAGCCAAATGCCTGGTACAGGGAAATCTTCTCAAACATAAAGGCTGAATGAATGAAGTAAGGTATGAATGTATGATGTAAACAATCAATTTTTCGTTAAGGTGCAACTTGCCACACTACGTCTTCATTAAGGTCCCCATTCTGTGAGTCCTCTGCATCCTTCCAAACACCCCAGGCACTGATTGACGGCTGATCTCCTTTTTGCCTCATGCGCCCCACTTCTCCACCTTCCCTGACAGAGGGCAGCCCTCCTACCTCCACAGGTTCCCCCAGGGCTGCCTTGAATACCAGCTTTGCCTGAAAAAATGTTCCTTGCCATTTAAGGCCTGATGTAAGTGTCTCCGGTAATGCTTTCTGTTTTCTCTGCTTCTCTCTGGAGCCCCCTCTATCACCACACCTAGATCACACACAACCCTGAGCATTCTCCGGGCATTCTTCTGAAGAACTCCAGCCAGCCGGCCTTGGTCTAAGTCACTGGAGTTCCTTCGCCAGCCGCAGCTAATGTTTCTCAGGGAATGGAGGCACAGCACCCTCACTGCCATGCCTAGCTCTCCTAGATCAAGGGTCCCCCTCCCCAACAAGCTGGGCGTCCACTGGTTCCTTGACCTCAGACCCATTCAGTACCTGAGGGGCAGATCCCCCAAGGGTGGTGCCGGTAGTTTCCGGCCAGGCCTGGGGGGCGGAGCACTTGCTGGGTGTTTCCAGGCTCGGCCTCCCTCCCTCCCTTCACTCCCCTTAACCTCCTCCGGTCTTGCCCAGCCATCCATTCGCGCAGCTGCGGCCCAAAGAAAAGGTGTATGTCTCCCTGGCAACCCATCACCATGCAACAGGGTCTCCCGGGATACGGCCCGGGATGTGCTGACGTCAGCGCCACAGTCGCGAGCGGGTCCGCCTGCTGGCGAAGCTCCGAGCAGAGCAGACCGGGCGGGGGCGGCCTTGCAGCCCAGCCGGCCGGATAGCGCCTCCGCTCGCAGGAAAAGGGGGCCAGAAGCAGGCTGCGAGGCGGGGGTAGGGACAGAGAGATACAGATCCCTTTATTTAAATGCATTCCTCCCCCACCCAACACCAGGGGCCCAGCACCTCTGGCAAGTCCTGGCTGTCCACCGAGGAAGGACGGGAAGACCGGCTCCAGCCTCGGAGGGTCCGAGCTGATCCCAGGGAGGTTAGGGAAAGACCTCGGGGAAGTTCGATCCACTCCACAGCCCACGCGGGGTCCGAGGCTACTGAGGGGTTGGGGAAAAGCTGTTCAGCTGCCCCCCATTAACCTTGCTCCTAGGATCCCCACTGTCATCCACTGTCGCCATTATCACCTCTGCCTCCTCCTCCCCTACCTCCTAGAATATTAAGGGCCACCTGGTGCTCTCCTTAACTATGAAACCCCTACTGGGCAGCGTTGGCCTCTTGGGCTCCAAGGGTTATTTTCTAACAGTCAGTCCATTGGTCACGTTCCTCCTCTGTGTATATTTTTATCATCAAACCCCCAGAAAAGAAACCCAAACTTTGATAAATTCTCAATCTTCTGCTGGTTCCCCAACCTGGTCAGCTCTGTTGGAAGACCTCCACTGCCATCTCAGCCCCTGCCCAGCCAACCCCTTGGACCTCAGGCAGGCTGCCTGCTTTCTCCTGTCCTCAGCTCTTGACTGGAACGCAGCTTGTTACTCTTCTTTAATGGCAAACTCATTTTTCTCTGATTTCCATCTCAGGCTCCTAAAGCATCTTCCTGATCCCCTTTCTGGCTGCAGGTCCTTTCTCTGCTTCTGCCTGGCTCCCAATATCCAAGGAATTTTCCTCTTGCCACCTGAGTACCCTTCTCCACAGCTTCCCATCACCTCCCAGATCACATCTCCTCTGGTCCCTGGTCTCACCTCTGCGACTTGTCTGACAAGTCCATCTTCCTCCAGGCCCTTCACGCTGCCACACAAACATTTTGCCCAGCACAGAAATCATAGGCATACTGGCTGTGTTGATGCCGAGAATCAAAAGCCCAGAACTCCAGGCTCAGCTCCCAGTTCTATTCCTGTTTTGGCTCCGGATGCTGAGACAGTCCCCTCCCCACTTGGAACTTTTGCCTAGTCACATAAGGAGAACATTCTTGCCTCATGGCTTAGGAAGTGGGGGTGCAAGGTCCCCAAACTGAACTCTCTGGGACTCACAAAGCAGAGGCCCATCCCCTAGACAGTGCCAATGAGCAGTGTATATCACAACTGACCTTTAGCTGGAGCAGCCGTTTCTGTCCCTGAGCCTCAGCCAGCTGGTGGTCCCCAGAAATGCTACCAACCAGAAGGAAGACAGGAGGTTACAGGCCATCCCTAGCCCCCAACTAGGACCTAATCAGGCCTTCCAAAGCCAGTCCTGAGGTCAGCTGAACTGTTCCCTGCCTACAGGAACACCAAGCCTTTGCAGGGCCAGAGATCACAGCAGTCTGCAGCTTCTCAACTTCAATAACCATGAGGTTATTTGGGGACTACAAATCCCAGAATGCCTCATGGGCACCTAAGGGAAGTATAGACCTCAGCCAGAGTCATATAGCTCCAGAGAACCTCAAGTAACAACCACACTCCATGGCCGTGTCTGACCACCAGCCCTAAAGGCCTGGGACACATTCCAAGCCCACTCCTCAATGTCACAAGTCCCTGCTTGGTTTTAGTTTCAGAGAAATACACGAGAAGATAAAGTCGCCGACCCCAAATGGTTAGGTCTAAGGCCGGGCTCCACCATGCATCACCATCCATGGGGATCATGGCACAAGCAGGGGCCAGCAAATGCGGAACCCTGATGGATGGGCTTCCTCCAGGGTAGGGTGATTTGTTTTGCTTTTTGTTGCTGTTGAGGTAAAGAAATGAAAACAGTTGTTAGACGTGAGAGGTGAGTAGGTGCTCACAGGTGCCTCAAATGAGGCCCCAGTACCATCAACTAGCTGTGCCTGTAAGCGAGAGTAAGTTTTAGACAAAAACTCTATGGTTCAGTGTTGGCCAGTGCTAGCACTCTACCTCCTTAAGGATATTGGGAGACACAAGGCTAAAAGAGGTAGATGCCAAAAAAAAAGCCACTCCCAGGGACTGGGAAGTGACATTTGATGACGAGGGTGGGTTTGCAGTCACCAGAGGCAGACGGTGAGGTTAACTAGCCCTCCAAAGCTGTGCACTTCCAGACACCCTCGGCGATGGGAATGCGGGTGAAGGCGTCCTGCAAAGCCTCCGGGCAGGCAGGCCACAGGAGCCAACCCAAGTCGGACTGGCCCCTTCCCCGCACGCTCCCGCTCCCTCCTCCCGTCGGGCCCGCCTCCTGGGTGCAGGCTCCTCCCTCTCCCGACACCGACCCCTTCCTCAAGGCCCCCACCCACCCGCAGCCAGCGCATCGCGCTGCGGACGCTACTCCCCACCCGGTGCCCGGCCTCCGCCTCTTACCCTGACCCGCAGGGCTCCGAGAGCCGATGCAGCCCATGGCCGGGTGTCCAAGCCCGCTAGCCCGCGCTCGGGGCCAGGGCCATCGCCTTGCGGAGGGTCAGGCAGTGGCCGCCACCGGGGAGGGGAGGGGGGGTGGGAACCGCGCGTCCGCCGCCGCTCCCGGGAGAGGGAAACGGGCCGGTGACGTAAACGCGGGGGCGTGACCACTGGCGTCACTACCTAAAGCGGGCGGGGCCGGAGCGACGTCATGGCCACGCAAGGGGAGGCCTAAGGACCCGAGCAGAGCGCGTCCTCTCCTCCCAAGACTGAGGGGGGACCCTAGAGCTAAGGAGGAAGCCGCAACAGCTGTCACAGTCCCACGGAGGCAGAAAACCCTTTGTTCTGCTCTATTTTACAGATTAACGTGAAGCCAAGAAACGATCAATTCCGAAGGGCTGATAGCAAAGTCTTCCAAAGATCTGGACAAGCAGGTACATCCATTAACCACTGCAGTCCTACTCCTACCCACTTTGAGGGCTCAACACTGCGGGGAAAGAGGACTCTCCAACCCTCCACCCCAGGAGATCATGGACAGGGGAAGAGGCAGGAGGGGTGCCAATCCACAGAGAAGTGTCTAAATGCCAGCTCTGGAAAGGAGGCTGCCCACCTATCCATACTCTTCGTTAGAGGAAGGAGGCCATAAAGCAGAGAGGCAGTGAGCTTAATTGAATTCATGTTTAATAATTACAGGCACCGTGCCCCCCCCTTACCCCTGCCCAGGCAGCAGCAGGGGTGGTGCGGGGGCTGGGGCATATGCCCCCAGCAGCGAGGACGGCCGTCCCAAGAGTGATTTTCAGAAAATAAAAAAGGACCCCAAGGCAGGCAGTGGTGCCCCACCACCCCCCAAGACACACTAAATTTCAAGACTTTATATATAATATATCTCTGTGCCCCAGGGGGAGGAAAGGGACACCTGGCAGCATCCTGGAGGGGGGCCCCCAGGCAGCCCCAAGCCATCCTGCCTCTTCAGCCACTTTATTAGCTCAGACACACCGCACTACAGGCACCCACTGCCGCCGCCGCTGCCACCCCCCTGCAGTCCAGGCAGCTGGCTGGGCCATCCTCGAGTCCATGGGGCTCCAAGTCCCCGGCCCCACCCGCACTCAGTTGTGGTCGGACTCTTCCTCAGCCTCACGAAGCCACTTGAAAAAGGCTGTGACAGATTTTAGGGCCACACCCTTGCCCTGCTGTTCAGCGGGGTCCTTGCTGCTCTCCCAGCTGTAGAAGGCATCCTCTTTAACCACGTCCTCATCGTACAGCGCATCAAAGAACGTCCGAAGCAGGTCTACAAATTGACAGGACAGCAGTTAGATCCCAAAGACCTCTCCAACGGTACGAAGGCAAAACCTCACCCACTAATGACATACATAGGTTTGACCATTCCAGAATGACCTGGTCTCAGAATTCTCAGCTCACGCTGAGACTGGTTTTGAGGACTGAGTCACATGGCCATACCTCCTAGCCTCATCTCTGTAGGTTCAACTTTAACCCACTCATACTACCAATTTAATGGGGAAATGCTGTCCACAATTAGTATTCCTCAATCTGAGGGATCATAAAAGTCCTAATCTCCACAAATATCAAAGGTGCATCCTGGAAAATCCACTGGCTACCAAACAGACTAAGCCATTATTGTTCAGTCAAAACCAATTCATAGCTGATCCTCCAATTGGCCTTTCAGAGGCTAGAAATCACTGGAGAGTGGGGTAGATTTGAACCTGTCAAGGGGTGTGGCCTTTCAACTAGCAGCACAGCAGACCATATCAGAGCTCCTTCATCAAATAGGCTAAATGCTGACAAACTCTTAATCCCAATTTTCACTTCCTTTCCACTCTCCTGAACATCTAGCGCCCTTCTCTGCTCAACACAGTTTTACACGGTGGGATGTGATCTACCATCCCACCTTCTCACCTTTCCTGTGAATTGCCTCATGACTGAACTCTGCCCCCATCTGGTCTAGCCTTTCCCTTTCTACGTTCTTGCTACAGATAGCCTTCTAGGCATTAATATAAGCCATTTTATTAACTACATAGTGGTGTTCATCTTCCCAAACTTTAAACTCTTAAGAAGAGACTTTTAGTGACATCAATAAAGCACAGTTAAGTTTTTAGTCCAGCCTGGGTAAAATCCTAAGCCACCTATGGAAAGGTATAGCCGCCAGGTTTCCTCAAGGTACACTGACCTCAAACCCACAGTTCCCAGCCAAGCCCATCCATTCCATATACGTAAGTCCTTTGCTTATCCCAGATTTGTGCTCCATAACCCATCAACTTTGCCCTGTATTTTCTAGCCCAATTTTCCCTCTGCCTGACTCAAAGACTGATTCCTCAGTCTTTTTCTACCCAATGCATTACTGAATACTGTCTGAAAGGGTGCCCTCCATGTTTCTAAAGCCAATGGTCCCTGACTTTCAGACCTGTTCCTATGGAACACTCCCAGGCGGCAGCTAGCACTACTCTTTTCCTCCTGCTAAAACTGCCCATCCTTCATTTCTAGGGCCCAGCCCTCCTCTGGGCTCTATCTACTTCTGTGGATCCTCCACTTCCTCAGAGTATAATCTCAGACCATCATCATTCTAGGGCAATCCTGTATGCTCTTGTGATCTGCATATTTCATCTGACAACAACTACTCTCCAAACAGAGCCAATATCCACCTATGTTTAATTTGACATCTCTGATCCTCAACCACCCAGGGACCTCTAAGATCAAGCTCATCTTTATCTAGTGTTCTCTACCTCAATGAATGGTGCTTTATCAAACCACTTTATCTGCTGATGAGAATCATAATTCTCCAGGCCAGTGACATGAAGAGTTGTCAATTACACTTTCTAAGTAGCTCTGAGGGAGCTCTGGTGGCTTGATCCTTAGAGGGCAGCATTGCTAACCAAAAGGCCATGCCTCTCTGGTGATTCAAATGAACCAAAAGGGTTTACAGCAAACAGATGGGTAGTCTCCGGTGCAATTTAAAGCCCTGGAAACCTAATGGAGTGGGAGCTAGGAGTCAGTTCTAACTTGACAGCAATGAGTAGGAGTTTTTGAAGCACCTCTTCATTCTGTTCACCCTCCCAACTCCACAACTTCCAGCCACTAACAACACACTCCTGATAGATCACACCACCATAGCAGTTTAATCCCATCCCAAACTACTCTCCCACTTTTGAGCTTTCACACACTCCATTCCTTCCTTTAAAGATGCCCACCTCATCCTCCTATTTGTCATTCTGTTAATTCCCAGTCATCAGACCTCAGACTAAGTGAACCGCCCCCAGAGAACACCCTGAAGGGCTCATCTGCCATCTTCCAAACCTCAACAAGCTATTAATGATTCCATGGCAATCTCTGCCAGTTAAGTACAGGAATTGTGCTTGACTTAAGTCAATGCTACCACCCCCTAGTGCCTGGCACTTATCTGCTGAATGGAGAAAACATCAAGCTTATTAACCTCTACTTCAGTCTTTCAATCTGGGAAAGAAGGTTAATACTATCTACCCTAACAACAGCTGTAAGGTTTTAATGATGAAATGTAAGCAAAGCACTTCAGCTGTGTCTAGACTGAGGCACAGGACCCCATAAAAAAGTGATCACTATCACTTCTGCTGTAGGGCAGTGAGTGTTACAAATAGGTAAGAAAGAAAATGCTGAGGGGGAAGCAGGGACTCAAGCCACAACCTATCTAATTTTTCTTAGGTAGTCATACTCCCACCTGTTTGTGACAGCCCCCCAGCCCAGCCCCACCCCGTGGCCTGGCTCTTACTGGCAGGCTGTTCTAAGGTTACAATGAGGGCCTGGAGGGCGTAGAGCGCCTGGAGCTCCTTCTGCTCATCACACAGGTATTTCTGTAGCAGTTTCGCTCGTGCTTTCAGCACTTCAACATCCACTCGGAGGGGATTCTCAACTACAAGAAAAAAGCAAAGCGTAAGTGGAAGAATGCACCCTCAGCTCTCAATGGGGGGGGAGACAAAGACAAACCCCCCTCCCTCCTTTTGTCTCGCCCACCATCTCCTTAGCTCCCCTTACAGATAATTGCAGAATAGCAGACAGTCGTCATGAGGGCTCGAACTAATGTGTTGGAGGCTACCTGCTGCTCACTCAGATTAGCCTGCAAGAGAAACAAACAGCCAATGAGTTCTGAATTGTGCCCTTAAGCACCTATCCCTGGTGCTCCAGTCCAGTTGGAATTTCTCATCCCCATGTCAGCTGTCTCCAACTTGATTCTGACCCACCACAGCCTCCCCCAAGCAAGGACAATAGAGCTGTGGTCCACTGGGGTTTTAAAGGTTATGATCTTTGTAGGAGACTGCCAGGACTATCTCCTGGGCATCTCTGGATAGGTCTCAACTACCAACTTTTCAGTTAGTAATCAAGTGTTTAAACCACTTGTGCCCCCAGGGCTTCTCCACACCCCATCAAAAACTCACTCCAGCTTTAATTCCGACTCACAGCAATCCTCCATAAGGATTCCAAGGCCATGAATCTTTGCTGGAGAAGGTCCATCTTTCTGAGTTGCAGGTGTATTAGAAATGCTTACCTTTCAGCTAGCAGCCTAATTCATTACAAACATCACTAGCAGGACTCCTTCTCCCACCCCAGGGCCATCTCCTCAATGTCCAGGAAAAACATACCTCAATCCACTCGCACACTGGCTCATTACTGCTCTCCTCCTTCAGCAGTTTCTCCAGCTGCCTGTGCAGCTCCCCCGAGGGGAGAGCCATTTGACTGGGGGCCTCCGACTCTTCTCCCAGTGTATACTCCACCTTCTACAACCAAAACACCCACAGTCAAGAGATAAAGTGCACGCATGAGAGAGGAGGGAAGGGGAAGAATGTCCAGTAGCAATGTGGGCATTAACTCTAGTTCCAAACCTGTTTAGTGACAAATGCACTGACGTCCTGACCTTCAGGGAGAAATTCCTTCCAGCTGAGCCCAGCCTCTCGCCACAACGTCCCCACCTTTTTGGGGCCCTAGAAAACATCAGATCTACTCAGCAACTCTTGCCTCCCTAGGACCCGGCAGTCCCACACCAAAGTCATTCCATAAATATTGACACAAAGTCCACAAAGTGCCTGGCAGGGGACAAAGATGCCACAGAGGCACCAAATAAGCACGGTCCTGTCCCTCCCCTCCAGGCCCCAGACATTAGTCATCTAACCACCCAAATAACAAATTCCCCCACTGGAGTACTGGATGACTACCGGTACTGGCTGCCACCTGATTTCTGACTCATGGTGGCCACACATTAGGAGTAGAAATGTGCTCTCCAGAGGGTTTTTTAGGAAATAGATTGACATCTATTCTTCTGAGGTTTCTCTGGGTGGACTTGAATGGCCAATCTTTTTGTTAGTAATGTGATGTTGTGTGTTGTCGAGTCAGAACTGACCCAAAGCTGACCCTCCAACATGTTTTCAGAGGCAGTACATCACACAGGAGGAACTGCCTATCCTTTTTCCACAGACCAACTGGTGGATACAAACTGCAACACAGCTTCTTACCTCTAGGCTCCCAGGGTTCCCTATTTGTTAACAGTCAAGAGTAAATTATTTATACAAGTGAGAGGTTGAGCTGCGGCTGGGCTGGAAACTCCTGAGCAGTGGTTCCATTCTGGAAGTTAGTTTCTCGTGTCTTGAGGAAGAGTCACATAAGGAAAGTTTTGGGTTGTGTTTGGTCTGTGATACTGGGTTTTTTCCCTCCACAAGAGTGTCAGCTGACCTTTGGCCCCTTTCAGATAACAAGGACCCAAGGGCAGAGAGGCCTGCTCAAGGGTATGCTTTAGAAAGAACATTCTTTTTTATTTTTTTTTAATTAATTTTTGTGTGTGTACCGTCAAATCGGATCTGACTAGTACAGGAGGAGATTGCCCCTCCTTCTCCAGCAGAGCATCTGGTGGATTCAAACTGCATACCTCTGGGATTGCAGTGCAGCTTCTTGCCACTAGGCCACCAGAGTTCCCTTAGAAAGGACATTCTTTAAGTGGTCCAGCAGTCGTTTGTCTATTTGCTGTAGTGAATAACATGGAGGTGCTGTGATGCTAAACATTATGCCACAGTTGTTTCAAATATCATAATGGTTACCCATCATGGACAGTGTTTGGAGGAGCTTCCAGATTGATTAAATTTTGGAAGCAGGAGTGGCATCCACTTCCTAAAACAGATACCTCTGGAACCTCTACAAATTCTTTAATCATATAGAAATTATATTGATTAGAGAACAGAGTTCACAGGGTCATCATGAGTCATATTTGACTTGACAATACTTAACTACTGCTAAGTGAGACTACTGTTGTTATATTTGGAGGAACATGGAGGAACATTCTTCTACTTTGTAAATTACTCTTTGCCAATTTGCTGGACTAAGATAATCTGGATTTGCTGTGATGATAGTGAACCTTGTGCTATTGGAGTATCAAATACCATAATGGTCTCCCAATGTGTACGGTGTTTGGTGGAGCTCCCAAATGTAAAGCAAGTTTAGAAGAAGGAGTGGCATCCACTTCCTAAACCACATGCCTATGGAAACTCTATGAACTTGGATAAATGACAACAGTTATGGAAAGGCATTAGGTCTTTTGTTCACAGTCGCTATGAGTCATACAACAATCAACAAGAAACAGAACAACACAAGAAAACTCCTCAAGACCAAGGTTGGGGAATAGTGGCCTCTAGGTCAAAATAACCTCCCTAACAATGACTGGATGTCAAAAAAAGGTAAACAATTAAATCCAAACAGTTCATCCTAATTTCACTTGCATATATTTCCCTTAAACAGCTTTGTTTTTCATCATCCAAGTAAATGGCAAAGGGAGATGGTAAAATCTAATAAGCATGCTTATTATTTGGTTCCTAAACTGTTTGAAGTAGATCACCAATCCTCATAAACCCTGCTTCTGGAAACAACTTTGTGGACAAAAGCTTTACTCCTTTACCCATATCAGAAAGCCATTCACTTTCACAAAGCAGCTACAGCATCACCACATAATTTTCTGAAGCCAGTACAGACACCTTACTTCAATTATTCTCCTTCACAGTTTTTAAGCTGTCATAGATAATCCGAATGATGGCATCAGGCCTTAACAATTATTATTGTTCACAGATTAACGACTCACAGCAACCCTACAAACAATAGATCTGAACCCTGTCCTAGCTTCATCATTTTTCACCTACTCGAGATCATTGCAGCTGTCACTGGGTAATCCATCCAGTTGAGAGACTTTAAGATCACTACAATGGGTATCTTTACAACTGGCATTATTACATCTTTAAACTATAACTCCAATTCTTTTCTTTCTTTCTTAGAAATGCATGAATAATACATTTTCCAATACGTAGCATTTTATTTATTTATTTTTTTTTTTATTATTTTGTGTGCGTGTACCGTCAAATCAGATCTGACTGGTACAGGAGGATACTGCGCCTCCTTCTCCGGCAGAGCATCTGGTGGATTTGAACCGCGTTCCTCTGGGATTGCAGTGCAGCTTCTTGCCACTAGGCCACCAGAGCTCCCCCAGCATTTTATACTTCAATCAAACACATACGCAATTCAACACATTTTTCTTAAACAAACATTACCCTTGGATTGATGGATGTGTTTCTACCTAAAATGTTAAAGGAATATGCAAGCACACACAAACTCATCACCAAGTCTCACCTTACAAGTTCCACTCTTTAAGTAGCATATTCCTACTTCTCACTACGCTCCTTCAACATGCCTCTTCCCATCTTTACACCTTCACACTTGCCAGCCACCATTAACGTGTTCACAAAACCATTTCAGCACCCCTCCCAGAAAGCCTCGTCTCCAGCACCACCAAATGGACACTCCTCTGAAGCTTCACAGTACCCAGAAACTCCACTGTCGCTACTACTTCACACTATTGTATTTACTAAGCCGCCATTTCTTACATTTTTATTGCCAACTAGTTTCCTGTTTTAGTCAATGCTATGTCCCCAGTGCCTATGTATAAACATATATAAACGTTCAAAGAATTCTAATTGAATAAGTAACTGAATGTCAGAGGGAGACTGGGAGCTCTGCCCTTTCCAAGCACCAACATAACCCTGCCCTGACCATTATCTCAACTCTAAAGGACCTCCAAATCACACAGTGAGAGCAGGAAAGACCCTCAACTCACCATGAATTATCTCCACCCTGAAAGACCTCCCCCATAGCAGACCAAACCACACAGAGAGGACAGAAAGGCTCTCAACTCACCATGCTTTTGCATAGAAGCCCCAGGATCTCCAGTAACAGAGAAGCAGCTTTGCCCAAGGGTTTCAGAGGCTTTGTAATCTCCCTATAAAAAAGGTGTGTGTGTGGGGGGGGGAATCTATTGATAGTTTCACAAACCATCACCACATTACCCCATCCCTCCTTCAACAGAATTTTCCACTTTCAACCCTCTCCCTTTGCTCGTCTTTATTATCAAACCAACACAAAATGCAGTTGTTGGGGGGGGGCGGGGCTATGCGCTGTTAATGATTCACAGTGACGCTACAGGACAGAAGAGTCTCACATTAATTCCTGAGGGTATATAACCTTTATGCAAGTAGACTGCCCATTTTTCCAGGGAGTGGCTGGGATGTTTAAATTGCTGACCTTTCTCATTAGCATTTGAGCACTTCTCTACCAGGGATTCTTTTACTATCTTTAGAAGCTAAGTCAAGCCCACTTCCATTAACCTGACTTTGACCAAGGGGAGCATACCTGAACAGCTCCCCCATGGGCACGCCACCTTCCTGCAGAATGGGTGTTACCAGTTCTGCCAGGTAGAGCCACACATGCGGGATGTCAATTTCCATGTCCTCTGCCAAGTCCAAGATTTCATATAACCTGCAACAGGAAATCAGAGTCAGGGCATTCAGTGCTGTCAGAATAATTTTCTAGAGAGGGGGCAATTAACTCATGTTAAGACCATCTCCTGTCCTTGCTTCACACGCATACACCTGAACCAAGGCTGTAGAGAACTTTATACTCTTAACACAAGACTCTAAGAGTTCCTACAGAGCAGGAGAGGCAAATCTGTAAGCATGCTTAAGTGGAAAAACACAGAAGCCTGTCCTACCCTTGGTAGTACTGAGCAGTGGAGAGGTGTCCAGCACTGAGCAGCTGGTGCAGCAGCCGCCCCATATGCTCCCGAGCAATGGCACTGCGCTCCAGGGTGGACTCGATGCCGTATCGAACAAAGATGAACAGCAAGGAGGGCGAAGCCAGTTCTTGCACACATTGTACTGCTTCCTGTAGAGGGAGAGGGAGCAAGACACAGGAGAATCATCATAGTTGGGCCCAGACTCCACACCCCAAGACGTCAGCTCACTCCAATCCCTCATCCCATCTACCTTCATGTCATTAAGGTGCAGGTACTCTTCAATGATGGCCTTCGATTTCTTCTCCAGCTCCTCCTCAGAGAGTGCAGCCTTTGGAGGGCTCACCGGTGGCAAGGTAGCTTCTCGCTTTACTGTGGGAGAACACCAGACGGCTTCTCAGTTCCAAGCTCTAGAAGTCTAAAGTCTTATTAGGGATCAAACCCTTCCCCGACCAGGAGCTCTCCCAGGCCCCCTTACCAGTATCTCGCCCACGGTCCCGATCCTCCGTGAGGCTGGCTGCCTTGCGCAGTCCCTCGGGCTGGGTGGACCGTTCTCTACTACGCTCCTCCACTTCCTTGCTGAAGCTCTGCTTGGTGGCAGGAGCTCGTGCACGATCGAGCCGATCCCCTCGGTCACCTCCTCGTTCACTCCGCTCCAGGCGGTCCCCTCGGTCCCCAGATTTCTCTCCTCGTTCCCGGCTCAAGCTACTCCT